CTAAATTCTTTCTGACTGTTGCTCGCGAAGGGCCTCCTTTTATATTCGCGAGTTAGTGGTCCCGCGTGCAGGCCTCGCGTATGTTACTGGTAATGTAGAATTAGGATTAAGGGTATCGGTTGTGAAATGGGATACGGGGATATGTGTCTAAAATAACATTCGTCATCGACCAGTTGCCGGATGTTCGATAGCTCAGAGCCACATGTGTCACTTATTATTGACAATCGCCGTTTCGGTTTATAATCCTTAATCTATTTACTTCTTCTGTTCCTCGGGATAAAGTTCTTCTATTCGACACGTGGTTTGAATTTTTAATTCGATGACTCCATCCCGAGTGGATTACTAGTCCAAAAGGCGAGTGTTAATTGGCTCGTCACCATCGTAACTCCCTTGGTAGAAACAGATGACAGTCTACCGATAATAATCTTTATGGTGATGACGAAAATTCTAATCGAAGAAAAGAACTGTGGAGTCTGGACGTAACAGTACCTATATTACTTAAAGTGTTCAACTGTCGTAAATTAAGAAGACGTTTCTTCTTCTTCAAAGATACCAAGATATTTTGCAATTTTGCATTCCTCTTCATACATCTTCGATATTTTTCCTGCAGAATTTTAATTTTTCGTTTACAATTTTTTTTGTATTCACCAGTGCAGTTCTCAGCATTCGTTTTCTTGGCGTATTTTCCGACAAGTGTGGCGAAACAGCTATTCCCTGATTTTTAATTTTGCATGGTGTACTTAATTGAGAAACGGTATCAATAGCTATAAAAAAATATAATTAATGGAATTTATCGAATAATATAATAAAATTAATTAAATATCTATAATGATTTGTTTCAGGATAACGAATTATCTTAACAAGAAAGAATAAGCACCTTGATGAGTGTTACTAATACTAATAGTAGTACTTTCTATTGGCACAGTTCCAGAAATGTCAGAAAAACAATCAAGAATATCTTGCACAGTTTCTATAAAGAATAATTAATCACACATTCTTCATTCTGTTATTACTACTGTAAGGGGATGTCTTCTATGGATGGCTTAAGCGAAAATAAATAACTGACACTCTTCGTATGCTTGAAAGATAATTATTCAGGAAAACAAAAAAATAAACAGGGTTATACGGAAGGTCTATTCCGTACGGCGATTGTATCGTGACTGCTTCGCTCGGGCATTCGCCTGGCAACGTTAACAAAAAACATCTACTCGTCACGTGTCACAAGCTTAACTATTGGTCCGGCTCTGGATCGCACAGCGGAATCGATAATCGAACTCGAATACAATTATCTCGCAATCTACCTTATTTCTATTATATCTCACTCTATTATATCTCACACTACCAAGTTTATAAAAATCTATTATTGAATATAAACATACCTTGTTCTACTTCAAGCTTTTCGTCCATTGCTTTGAAATCTCTTCCTTCATCTATTGTATCAAATACTTTCTGTTTTTTTGGAAGAGTAGGTTTTATATTACCGACATCTGCGTTTACCTATAAAAAATATTTTACTATCTTAAATATTACGTATTTAATAATTTAATAATTTTGATTAGTTCTATGACATACTTTATGTATAAATGGGATAATATCAGGTCGAATTCTGATACAATTGACAGATGATCTGTCAAAGGCATTTTCTTCAAAATGTAGTGAGCAGAAAGTTGCTTTTTCTGGTACTTCTTCATTATTTAATCCCATCCTTTCAAGCCACTTTTGACGCATATTTGGATTCTTAGGAATTCTACAATTATATATGTTAAAATATGTTCCGATAGCGTTCAATTAGATTATTACACCGGTCGAGAGGGAACGAGACACACACATAAAGAAACGACTGATATATTTAATATTAAGAAAAGGAGGCTATGCGCAACGATACCAATTGAGCGTTATAAAGGAAATTAAATTGTAATTACAAGGTTTTGTTCGGTGCAGTGATATTCGAATCATTGCATTGAGATCACCGATCACTGCGTTCGAATCAGATCGAGCGTCTCTGAATCAACACTTCCCACTAACATTCAACCTTAAAAAGGAGGGTTAAACTTAAGAATTTACTTTAAGTAAATGCGGTGATATTAATGAACTCGAAATGAAATGTCGACACAATAACTAAATTTGTCAAGCAAGGCGGGTGTCATCAAGAACGAAAGAAAGAACATCATACATTAATATTTCTACGTTTGAGGTTAGCCGTCACTTCTTAAAACACATTTATCTCGATCTGACTCGATACGGAATTTCACTAATAACATAAGTAGCAATATAACTTAAACTATGGCGGTGACACTCAACTAAAACATAAACTCGGCAAGCAAAGTATCCGAATGTACTTAACACTAAAGGAAGTGAAAGAAGAGGGAAGAGGAGCAATCGTGATGTCCCTGGTACGTTTCGATGTTTGACCTTGAGGCTGAATCCAGTCACGTATTCATAGACTCCCGCCAACACCAATCCTGGCCTGCCACATTCGGCGGTCTAATGATCAAGAATTTCCTAGTGTGCGGCGGTCAGGTCATCGGATACTTCCAGACGTGGGCGACGGCTGAATGGTCGAGCGCCTCTAAACGTATCGGTTACGGCGATGGAATCGCCCAAGCAACTTCCCCAAGCAACTTCCCCAAGCAACTTTCCCAGGGAATTAGAGAATTAGCAGAGGTCTTAAATACTAATATTTAAATACAATTTATGGCCAGAGAGCTCTCGTCTTACTTGTTATCGAACGCAGTAATTCACTGGTCCGTCCCGTATTGCCGGCACCCTGCACACAATTACTAATTGTGTGCGTAGAGACGGGCAGTCAAAATGGCTGCAAAACCCGTGCACGCGAGCCGAGATTCCCAGATCGCCGACCGGAACACAATATATGTCCCACCCGGTCGACACTGGCGGTTGATCTGGGATGTAACCATGCCCACTCGGCCGCGAACTCAGCAGCTTTCCCGTTTCTCAAAGGACGTCTCCTTTTGCAACGCTCTATGTGCAAACTTCGCACGCACGGACAAATCCGTCCGGACTTTCCAAAAAACGAAAACACTAATGGCGGAACAAAAGGCGCACGTAAAGAGACAGTGGGCCCAACCGAAGCAAGCAACGCCGCTCTGACCGTAGCAAGCAGCGCCGCCCTGATTGCCAGTTGGCGCGACCGAAGCGCCGCACACTAGCGCCAGGCTCGCGCCCCCACGGATGCACTCGGCACGCCCGCGGGCGCGAATTTTGAAATAACGTCAATTCGTAACAAAACAATAAAATATAACAAAATATATAAATATATATATATAACAAAACAGTTATAACAATGCTTATAGCAAATTTGGTTTGAATGCACCAGTGCGCACTCAATATACATTAAGGCTGTTGTACTGAAAATCTATAGTTTACGTTTACTGTAGATTTTCGACACTGGTAGTGCATATCGAAACATGCCTCTAATCTGAACGTAAAAGTAAAATATCTTGAATAATAAATATCTAATATATTTTTTACCAAACAGTACAATAACATGTACTAAGAATTTCGCGATTTAACTATTTCTATATTTATATTAAACACATCTTTATATTGATTTGTGTACAACAGCTTTAATATGCACTATGAGTGCGCACTAGTATATGCCAAATACATTATTAATATTAATGTACATACCTGTGAAATGTAATTTTTTTGGCATAAAATTGTTCCCATTGTAGTTGTATTTTATTTTTTCGACTATTGGCATTTCTACTTTTACAACCTTTAGCCCAACAATCTGGCATGTTATATATCTATTATATTTAACTCACTATATTAATATTATCTACGTTATTTATTCGTGCACATTATTTAACAACAATAAATATATTATTTAACAATATATGTGTACGAATAAATAACGTCAATTGAAACTTTTTGGTTATTGACATCAATCTACACCAATGTCAACGTCCTCGGTTCACGTCAGGTAATGGCCGTGCGACGTGACTGAGACACTAAATCCGAGGTACTAAGATGGCGACGCCATCATTGCCCCTCACCTCTCAGACCTTACTTCCCGCGTCCACATTAGCACTCTATGCTCCGTCCATATATTTTATACGTCCATGACTTGACTCAGACAGAGGCAAAAGAAACTTGTAACAGAAGTTAAGGATGTGGGGAAAAAGATATCCTTTCAGATAGGTACGAAAAAAGGAGAGGGCGAGGTATTAGGGGAAGAAGAAAAGGAAATGTATGAGCAATATCAGAAGGAGTTTAAGGCAATGATGGAAAGTTTCAGGGTAAAGGAGAAGCTATGGGAGGATAAAATTAGGAATATTGAGGAAAAGGCCTTGGAGAGAGAAAACTGGTTTAGGGATAAAATAAAGGAAATGGAAAGAGATTGTAAGAAAAAGGTAGAAACTATAGAAAAAGTATGTCAAGATAAAATAGAGGAAATGGAAAGGAGGCTAGGATTAGATGAAAATTTAGGAGAAGAGGGGGGAGGGGAAGGGGGAGTACATACAGCGAGAATAGAAGTATAGGAAGCAGGAGGGATAGTAGTAGAGGAAGAACTAGGTCCGTGAGCAGCATAGGGGGTCTAAGCGTAAAAGATGTAGATATGGTAAGGAAGTTAGTTTTGGAGAAGGAAAGAAAAGAAAGAAAACTTAATATAGTAATAAAGGGTATAACAGAGGAAGAGGCAGGGGAGATGAAAGATGCTGAAAGAAATAAAGAATGGGCAAGGATTTCTTAAAAAGAAAATTTGGGGTAGAGTGCGAGATAGGAAAGTGCTGGAAAAGCGGACCTGTGATTATCGTTAAATTAGGAAAAGAAAATGAAAAAAAAGAGGTAATGGTAAACAAACACAAATCAAAAGGGGGTAAGATTTTCATAGAAAACGATTTGAGCTTCGAGGATAGGAAAATACAGGAAAAAATAAATAGGTGGGCAAAACAGAGGAAAGAAGAAGGGGAGATGATAAAAGTAGGATTAGGATAGGGTCAAGGTGAAAGGGACATGGATGTTCCTGTTCGGTGATAGATTATATCTTAGTTAACGAGGTAAAGTACGATAAGATTACAGAATTTAAAATGGATGTAAGAGTGGACTCGGATCATCTACCGCTATGCATGAAGTATCTGGAAGTAGGAGATGAGGAAGTTAAACGGGAGGAAGAGACGGACAAGAAGGTTACAGTGGAAATAATATCTTGGGACAAGGAGGCAATAAAGAGGTACAAGGAGGCGACCGAGACTTGGGACCAAGGAGAGAAAATGGAGCCCCAAGAGGCAAAGAATATAGAGGATAAATGGGAAAGAATAAAGAACTTTGTGCATAGCTCGTTGGTGAAGAAGAGGAGGAGTAGAAAAAAAAGGACTTAGGACATAGAGACTGGTGGGACAAAAGCTGTACGAGAAGAAAGAAGGCCACAAAGAGAACTTATTGGAAGTGGAGGATAGGAAAAATAGAGAAAGCAAGGTACATTGAGGAGAAGAAGAAATATAAGGAGCTGTTAGAAAAAAAACAGTGAGAAAAGAGAGAAGCGGAGGAAGAGGAATTGAGAAACCTGAAAAGGGAAGTGGACATATGGAAGTTCATAAACAAAAAGAGAGGTAAAAGAATAGGGACAGAAAATAATATTGGAAAAGAAACCTGGAGAAACTATTTCAAGGATTTGCTGGATGGTTTGGAAAAGGATGAAAGGAAGATGAAGGACAAAGAAGAAACAACTGGATCATTGAACGAAGAACTGGAGGAAGGAGAAATCAGAAAGATTTCTAAGAGCGCTAAGAAACATGAAGTTAAGAAAGGCGGCAGGAGCAGACGGTATACTGATGGAAGCATGGAAATATTCAGGGAGTGGCCTGTGGAAGGAATTGGTCTCACTAATGAAGAAAATATGGAGGGAAGACAGGATACCCGAAGACTGGAGAAAATGCATAGTAGTGCCCCTGTATAAGAGAGGTGACTGCAATATGGTTAAGAATTATAGAGGTATCTCACTATTATGCACAGCTTATACTAGGTGTACAAATAAGTTTCCGGGTTTCACACATGGATGGCGCCAACGACACATGTAGTCGACATACATGTCTGAAGTTGTTTATTTTTTGTAGCTGCGACATCTGACGACAATAATCAATCAAAATATTTCCAGTTTCGCGACGAAAAAAAATTTTTATGCAACAGTGAAAATGTCGGGTTTTGTGCCAAAAAAACAGCATTCGCGGGAAGTTTTGCTTTTCTGCTTTCACTTGGTCAAAAATGCAGCTGAAGCACGTCGTTTGCTTGAGGAGGCTTACGGCGAACATGCACCATCGAAAACAACCTGTGAAGATTGGTTTAAACGCTTTAGAAGTGGCGATTTCGACACTGCGGACAAAGAGAGCTCCGGAAGACGGCGCGGCCGAATCGTTTCGGAAAGAAAACAATGCTCTGCGTTTGGTGGGACCAGAAAGGAGTGGTTTACTATGAGCTGTTGAAACTAGGCGAAATTGTCAACGGAGAACGCTACCGACAACAACTAATCAATTTAAGCCATGCATTGCTCGAGAACCGGCCAGAATGGGACACAAGACATGAGCGAGTGATTTTGCAGCAGGACAATGTACCGTGCCATCGCACTTACTTCCATCATCAAGGACACCATCAAAACGCTGAAATGGGATCTGTTACCACACCCGCCGTATTCACCAGATCTGGCTCCTTCTGATTATCACTTGTTCCGGTCGATGGCGCATGACTTGGCTGGACTACACTTGGCCAGTTTCGAAGAAGTGCGAAATCGGATAGATAAATGGTTTCGGACCAAAAACGAGTCGTTCTATCGTCGCGGTATTCATGCATTGCAAGAGAGATGGCGAAAATGTATAGCTAGCGAGGGACGATACTTTGAATAAACCGTTTTTTGTTTTTTTCTTGAAATTTTGCATTTTTCATTGATCAAAAAAACCCGGAAACTTATTTGTACACCTAGTAAAATATATGCGGAGATTTTGAGAAACAGACTGGAAAAGGAAGTAGAAGATAAAGGGATGCTACCTGAAATACAGGCTGGATTTAGAAGAGGAAGGTCAACGATGGATAATATCTTCGTTCTGTCACACATCATTCAGAGAGAAAGAGTAAATGAGGAAAGAGTTGGAAAAGTGTACATGATGTTTGCGAATTTGAAGGCAGCCTTTGATAGGGTGGACAGAGAGAACCTATGGAGAACTCTAAGAAGGAAAGGAATCAAAGAAGGAACGATCAGGAAGATGGAAATGATATACGAAAGAACGGAGTTAATGATCACAACGAAAACAGGAAACACCGAAAGCTTTATAACAAGGAGAAGAGTAAGGCAAAGTTGTGTGATGAGTCCACTCCTTAATATGTTTAATATGTATATTGCGGATTTAGATGAGAAATTAGAAAATAGGGGAATAGGTGGTATTAAAGTAGGAGGAACTAGGATATGGAATTTAGCATATGATATAGTGTTAGTCGCGAGAAATAGAGAAGCGCTACAGGACATGATGGAAACGTTTAAGAGATTCATAAGGGAAAAGAGCCTGGAGCTATGTACAGATAAATCTAAGTGGGTAATAAAAAGGGGAATGAGAAGGTAGAAAAATTTCTTCCCATCCCCATATCTCTACCCCGTACGCCATTACGCTTTGGACCAGATATTTGAAAAGATTCCACCTTCTCTTAAAATCATTCCTACACCACCTTTCCCCCAGTCCCCATACCTAAAATGGAAATAGGGTGAAAAAGAAATAGAAGAGGTACAGGCGTTTAAATATCTAGGTTTGATGTTTAATAGGAAAGGAAGCTATGAAGAACATATAAAAGAATTAAGGAGGAAAGGGAAACTGGCAGTGAGAAAGGTATGGGGACTGGGGGAAAGGTGGTGTAGGAATGATTTTAAGAGAAGGTGGAATCTTTTCAAATATCTGGTCCAAAGCGTAATGGCGTACGGGGTAGAGATATGGGGATGGGAAGAAAAAGTAGAATTAGAAAAGGTAATGTTGGATTATGTTAGGTGGGTATTTAGGCTGGATTTCTGTACGCCAAGGTATATTATAATGAAGGAATTGACTATGGAAAAAATGAGAGTGGGATGGGGAATTAGAGCGAGGAGATTTGAACAGAGGATAAAGTCAGGGGGAATAGGTAACTTGGGGAGAGAATGCTGGGAAGAGAAAGAAAATAATAGGTGGAGAGATTTATATGGACAAGATAGGATGGGTTATTATAATAGGAATGGGTGGGGGATTGAGGCCAGGGAAGTAAGAGGAGGAAGCAAAGGTTTTGAAGAAGAACCAGTAAACAGGGAGAGGGACCTGCAGAGGCAATGGGAAGAGGGTAAAATAAGGAATGCTAGGTATAATGTGAGATACAAGACATGGGAAACAATAATGGAAACACCTAAAATGGAACACCTTTATATTTGAGGCAGGAGAATTTAAGAGATTGGAAAAGAGGAGATGAGGTAAGGGCTTTAATGAAACTGAGATGTGGAAATTTAGAAGAAGACAATAAGTATTGGATAAAAGAAGGAAAAAGGAAATGCATTTTCTATGGAGAGGGTAGGGATAATATTACGCATTATGCTATAGAGTGTAAAGGGATAAAGGTCAACTTCAAAGATTTGGGAAGAGAGGATAATGAAATTCTAGAGAGATTATGGGAGGAAAATCTAGATGAGACGAAAGGGATAATGATAAGTAAATTATGGAAGGAGAGAGAGAAAGTAATTAGAAGTAAGGAAAAACAGGATAAGGATAAAAGGCAAGAGGCAAAAGAAATAGTA